GCAAGAACAGCCATGGAAACTTATATTAACAGTGTTTCTTTCTTCCTCCCAAGTCAGGACTCTAGCCTGTAATTGGTGGAGCTTTTCTCCTCCATGCAAACTAGAAAATCTGTCATGTTTTTAGAAGAACTTACCTAGGGCTCTTCAAATCCCACCCCCTCTACGTTTTGATGGCTGTATAATATTCCACACGCTGACAAAGAACTAAGCGTACCTGAAGTAAGTTCTCCTCTTCACACAAATGCTTATCGACCTTCTTGTAGAGGTTATCCAGGCCTTTCTTCACTTCCTTTCCCGGGTACTCTTTGATCACCTTCCGCAGCTCCTGCTTGTTAAACGCCAGCTGGTAGCTCACTTCCTCCTCTCGTATACCTTGTGCCACGCGCGCTTCAACACCTTCAAAGAAGTGCTTCAAGGAAACGGACAGAAAGAGTCACTGAACATGGCTCTTCAGGTCCCTTCAAGTAGGAAAAACAAATCTGGCTACAAAAGAGTACATCTCCACTGTACAAAAACAAGACGTTTGCAGGAAAGTATAAAGGATCGAATCACAGTCACTTCCTATCGCACCACTCAGACACAACTAGTTAGTATTCTAGATGGTCTTCCGTTTATATTTTTCTATTTAAGGCTATGTGCTTTTTTCTAAATATAAATTTTAATTGCTCCAAAAAATTCTATCCAGTGAGTGGAATATTGGATTTAACACTTTTGTATTTTAAAATCTAGTATAAATACAGTAGCATAAATATCCTTTGGACACAGCAGCATTTCTAGGATGACAATTATTGAGGCGATTACACATTTTGATGATTCGTCATACAGATTGCTTCCCAGGGAAGTTTAAACAACTTTTATTTCTATCAACTGTGCCTTAGAATACTACACCTGACCACACATAATAGCAATCTCTGTTGTTTTGAGGGGTGGAAAAGTTTATTTTTTGTTTTATTTCACGATTCTTTGATGTTAAATGAAGTTAACAAGTCACACATTAATCATGATCTGACTCCCTTGCTAATTTATACACTGGGGTCTGGGCTTTTATTAGTGATTTTACAGAGATCTTTTATATGCAACATACAGCGTTGTTCTGTTCCAGTTATTTGATTCAAGTTATCTCCCATGTGTATTTGTCTTTTTAATATGGAGAAGCTAACATTTTAATGTAAATAAAATATCCTTTTAATTTCTATTGCTTTTACGATCTTCATAGTCGACCCTGGGGGCCTGGAGTCTTGCAATCGTTAACCATGCGACTACCAAAGGAAAGGTCAGCAATTCAGTCCACCCCCCACCCCCCACCAGAGTCACCTTGAAGTAAGGCCTGGCCACCTGCTTCAGAAAAGTCACAGGTGTAAAACCCTCTGGAGCGGCTCTCTACAAACCTGGGGCCGCAGTAACCAACCATGTATTCATAGTAACGCCTTTCCTCTAGCTTTGAAATGTTTTCTCTCTCTCTCTCCAATGTTTACTAGAGTCCTTTAGTTTTCTACCCATCCCTCCTAACCTCAGTTATTTTCCTGAAACCAGTTACGGAGTTAAACCACCGGTTTTCTATTAATTGGTGATGGTTCCCTTGTCCTGCGTATTCGGATCTAGTTGGAGAGGACGTAAACAGCTTTCCTGATTGGCATGTCTACACGTGTGCGCTATCCAATAGGCCCAAGGCTTTCTTGTGACTTTTATCAAGCCTTTCCTCAGCAGTTAGTGGTTTTCATTATTCTTTTTTTCAGTAAGCTGATGCTTGGTGTGTTTGCTTTCGTAATTTCTTTCTACATACACTTCTAATTAGTTAGTACTGAAGTGCAGGAAAGAAAATTGGTTTTTGTGTATGTATTTTGAATACTGCCACTTTACTGGAAACCAATTATTTTCCACAAGTCACATACAAATAATGGTGATCTTGACGCTTCTTTCTGTAGCTCCTTCTTTTCATGTCTCATTGCATTGCCCAGGGCTCCTACGGGATGCTGAGGTGATAAATGACCTAGCAGTGTTTTCAATTTCCATTTGATTCCGAGGGCAATGCCTTTAGATGAGGTGCCAGTAGCCCTTCTGGGGCCACCCACATAACTTCAGCCACCACCCCTCCCCCCCATCCCACCCGCTGTGCTACAGGTGCTCACCCCTGTCTGGTCTGAGCTGGACACACAGCCTCATACGTGCAGCCAGCACTGCAGGCAACATGCAGAGCACAGTGGCCTCAGCAAATTGGACTTAGGTTTGCCTTGGATGAATGACCCAAGGCATCTGCCCAACACAAGAAACAATGCCACTCTACGTACAGTAACTAAAAACATCTTCCACGATAACTGTTTCTATGTGAATAAAATTAACTGGCTATGAAAATCAATGGATTTATCTTTAAAACAATGGGAATGTCTCCAATGTTACCATACAGCACCCTGTAAGCTTTAGGTTTGAG